CAGCACGTAATAAGAATATATAACATACACATGTTGTTATTTATCCTAATCTTTAACACACTAACAAACTATTATTCACAGAAATTACTCAAACTGTAAAAACAACACATTTTACATGAAGTTTTCAACTCCTTTGAATAAATGGCTCTTACAATTAAAAAGTTTAATTTGAAACATTAAAACATCTTTCAGTTGGATCAATGTTTTTCACAGTTCAGAGTCTTTAAAAGTTTTGTTTTGTTTCTAAACTTACACGTTTTATTCTTTATTCAGATTAAGGAGGTGCAGTTTGTCAGAGACCAGCTGTTCTTTTCTGAGTTCAGCCCTGAAGTCCAACCCCTCCCATCTGACAGAACTGGACCTGAGTGTGAACAAGCTGCAGGATTCAGGAGTGAAGCAGCTGTGTGATTTTCTGGAGAGTCCACGATGTAGACTGGAGACTCTGAGGTCAGACATGTTTATCACCTGCTGATGGAGGAGGAGGGACAATGTTGTTGATGTGTGTGTGTGTGTGTGTGTGTGTGTGTGTGTGGGGGGGGGTTATCAGTAAAAGTTATCGTATCATAAAAATCTCTAACAAAACTTTAGGAAAATAATCATTGAATATGTCTCTACTGATTTATTTTTATAGTCAACCAGATTCAAGATGGCCGCCACAGCCATCTGACTTAAGGAAACACCAACATGACTATAACTCAGCCAGTTTGACAGATGTTGAGCTGACAGTTGTTGTGGTAGTAGCTGAGCATCATACTCAACACATACTTTGAGTGAAACACATTGTGCAACATTTTTGTCTAAAACCTTGATATAATTTGTTGGAGTCAGTCCTGTTTGTCTGTTAGCAAAATATCTCATAAACCACTGAACATATTTCAAAGAAACGTTCAACAATTAATCTTTGGATTAATTGTTGAAACTGATTACTGTTTGGAGTCGACGTCATTCAAGATGGCTGCTGCAGCTAATTGACCTCAGCCAACACAGAAGTGTCTTTACCTCAGTGAATTTTACAGACACTGAGCTAAATGTGGTGTGGTAGTAGCTGAGAGTCATTCACAACATTCTTCAAGAGATAAGTAATCATGTCAGATTGTTCAAGATATCACAATATCTCTGGAGATTGAACATAAAGTTTTTTTTTTCAAGGTTTGATCAAAAACATCTTTCAGTTGGATCAAAGTTTTGCAGAGTTCAGCGTTTTTAAAAGATTTGTTTCTAAACTTACATGTTTTATTCTTTATTCAGATTGAGGAGCTGCAGTTTGTCAGAGACCAGCTGTTCTTTTCTGAGTTCAGCCCTGAAGTCCAACCCCTCCCATCTGACAGAACTGGACCTGAGTGTGAACAAGCTGCAGGATTCAGGAGTGAAGCAGCTGTGTGGTTTTCTGGAGAGTCCACGATGTAGACTGGAGACTCTGAGGTCAGACATGTTTATCACCTGCTGATGGAGGAGGAGGGACAATGTTGTTGATGTGTGTGTGTGTGTGTGTGTGTGTGTG